TTCTTGGGTTTTCTATTAATTTTTTCCAAATAGCAAGTCATACTTTTTCCTATATTTGTTCATTTATGGTATGTGTAGATGTATTCTTTTGGCACAAACACACTTTGTCATATAAAACTGTAGGGAAATCTTTAGTCCCCCTAAAATCATGATACCACAGCGTGTGCTCTTAGCTGCTGTAACACATGTGAGGTTATTGAGTGTAAACTATGTGTCAGGATTCCCTATGTCCTTTGTATGTACTGTGGGCCATTCATCACAGAAACCTTATCTAGCAGGTTAGTCTAATTGTCTTCATTTAACATGAAAAGGGAAGTTGCTACTTAGAGAGATCACTGCTAAGAGTGTCTGTATACCATGAACCCTATGATGTCTCTGGGGAGAGTGTTCCCTGGAATCTCATTGTCAGGAACACTGGTGCTTGCCTTGAAACTTTCTATCCTCCAGTAATGACTGTCATCCATGCAAGTGGACCTGTAGAACTCTTTGCCTTGGATGCTAGAAAATTGGAGTCAACTTAGTGGTAGAAATTGGGGAGAAAAAAAATCTAGTAAAAGTGATCAAACAGGTTAATGGATCCAATCCACAGATTTCTGTCTTTTTAAGACCAGGTAGCTCTGAGATGTAGACGACTGCAGGTTGTACAGGGAAAGGTGAAAAGAGGTACATGGATAGCAAAAGGGGATGAGAAGTCCATGTACAAACAAAGGAGAACACAGGTCCATGACTGTGGTATTCCTCAGGGCTCCCTTTCCTTTAGTTGTCACAGTGTGTTATTGGAATGGCTGGGAATTGGTTCAACTTCATGCCTCTTGGGTCCTTGGTGCAGTGTCATTTTAACAGCTGTCAGAATAGTTCTTTGAAAGCTGTTTCTGTAGGCCTAGTTGATTTTTACATTTTGAGTGTTATAGGAACAAAAAAGTTATAGCAGGGAAAAGAAGTGAACATTTTAAGGAGTCAGGGCTTTAATCAAGGAAAACTGGGTCTGGTGTAAGTATTTTTCACTGTGTTCTCATAGACAAGATGAACATCTGGCCAAGATGAAGTCCTTTCATTGTCAGCTGATTGTTTGCAGAGAGGAAGTCCAGGGATGTACAAAGTTCCAGTATTGAATCAAGAAGGCCTGTGTAGGGAGCTGAAGGAGCAGTCTGTTCTCTGGTCCTCTGTCTGTGATCAGAGCTGGGATGGTCTGTCTGAACAGGACACAGCTGCAGGCCTGAGTAGATGTGAGTGGGTGGCTCAGATGAGGAGCATTCCTGTCAGGGTGAAAAGGAAAAAAAAGGCACATTTAGAACTGACTTAGGGAATTGATTACACTTATGTCCAACCTCATTCTGATTTTTTTCCTTTCTGTCTTTTTATTTCTTATTTCTCCTTTTTTCTTTTGTTAAGTATTCACCTCAAAATTAATTAAATCACCTTACATGAATTCTCGTCAATTATCGTATATATAAAAAAGATTTAAAATAAATACATGTAGCCCTGGCGGGTTTGGCTCAGCGGTTAGAGCATCGACCCTCAGACTAGAGAGACACAGGTTCAGTTCCCGCTAAGGGCATGTACCTCCCTTGCCTTTTGTCCTCAGCCCCCGTTGGGGTCCTGTGGGTAGCAACCAATCTATGTGTCTCTCTCACATCCATGTTTCTCTCTCTCTCTCTTCCTCCCTCTCTCCCTTCCACTCCATCTGACGATATCGGGGGCGTTCAGGGTGGTATGGCTATAGACCCTTCCACTCTATCTGAAGATGAATGCAGAAATGTCCTCGGGGGAGGATAAAAATAATAATAATAATAAAATAAATAGATTGATAGTAAACATGTGAAATTAATATTGAATCTTACAAATATTTCAACATTATTTTAAAATAATACGACATACATTTTACCTCTGAACTTAGCAAATTATCCAATTTAGTTATCAGTACTGGCAGGATACAGTGCAGGCCCTGGCTTATGTTCCTGGTTAAAGGAATGTGCTAATATGTGGCAACTTGTTTGATTCAGTGCAAAGCTAATTGCCTAAAATGTGGGTATAGATCTATTTTTAAAGTTTTCACAGCATTATTTTTTATTTTTCAAAAACCATGGAGGCGTAGTGGAAGATACATTTGGTTCAATACAGGCAAAATTGAATTTGAAGAAAATGCATGAATTACCAAATATCAACCATAAAAACTTCCCAATTCTGCCCTGGCCGGTTTGGCTCAGCGGTTAGCGCGTCGGCCTGCGGTCCCGAGACCCGGGTTCCGTTCCCGCGAAGAGCACTTACGTCGGTTGCAGTTTGTCCCCGGCTCTGGTTGGGTCCTGTGAGTGGCAACCACTCGATGTGTCCCTTTCACGTTGATGTTTCTCTCTCTTTCTCTCTTCCTCCCATTCTATCTGAACAAAAAATGGGAAAAAAATGCCCTCGGGTGAGGATAAAAAAAACTTCCCAATTCTGTATTGTATACACAATTATCACCGGGATGTAAAAATGAAGGTGATATGCAAATCATGTTGAAAGTGGTTGGGCGCCCTGGCCGGTTTGGCTCAGTGGTTAGAGCGTCGGCCTGCGGTCCAGAGAGACCCGGGTTCGGTTCCCGCTAAGGGCATGTACCTCGGTTGCAGTTTGTCCCCGGCCCTGGTCGGTCCTGTGGGTGGCAGCCACTCGATGTGTCCCTTTCATATCGATGTTTCTCTCTCTCTCTCTCTCTCTCTGTTCCTCTCTATCCCTCCCACTCTACCTGAACAAAAAAAAAAAAAATTGAAAATGTCCTCAGGTGAGGATAGATGAAAAAAAAAAAAAGTAAGAAAGAGGTTGGGCCATGGCTGATTACTCTTCTTTTTTTTTATAATATTTCTTTTAGTTTTTGGTACGTGCCCCTAGCGAAAAATGAACCCAGGACTCTCTGGTCCGCAGTCCGACGCTCTAACCGCTGAGCCAAACCAGCCAGGGCGGTGATTACTGTTCTTTTCTCTTTCATAATGACTACAATCAGAAGAATTTTCTTTAGAGCCTGAAGGAAAAACAATGGAGTGAACATATGAGAAATCTCAGTGGGTTTTCTAAATACCCAGGCGCACTGGACAGGAGCAAGGGAGCACTTGGCCCTCCCCATGGGGACAACCAAGTCAGGACGCTGGAGGACAGACAAGTGGATTTCCTATGTTGAATATACAATGTTAAACAAAAACAAAGCAGAAAATATAGCTCCAGTCCTTAGCAAAGTTACAGTATGCTATTTCCCTTTGAGATAGTACTCACGGGATTTTTTCTGCTTTCTCAGTTATCATATTCACTGTTTAAGACTACATAGACTACTAAGAAGAGAAATGAAGAAAAATTCTTTTTTTAAAAAAATATATACATGTTTTATCCTCAACCTAGGACCTTTTTTTTTTTTTTTTGCATTTATCTTCAGATAGAGCTGGAGGGAGAGAGAGAGAAACATCGATGTGAGAGAGACACATCGACTGGCTGCCACTCACACAACCCCAGCCCTGGCAGGGTACAAACTGCAACTGAGGTACATGCCCTTAGTGGATACCAAACCCAGGACACTCTGGTCTGCAGGCCAATGCTCTAACCTCTGAGCCAAACCGGCCAGGGCAATGAAGAAAAATTCTTCAAGTCCTTTCAAATGATTTTTAGAACAGATAATTCATGCTAAAACCCTGAGTTTAATAAAAGATGTTGACGTCACAATGCAATATGAATCTCATTCTGTGTGCAATGCCCCTTTGTGGATAGAAAGACCTCTAAAGAAATGTATCACAAATTATTAATGGTTATTGGTGGGTGATAAAACTGGTTTACATTACTTTATTATATTTTATCAGTCCTCCTGATTTCCTGCATGGAGGTGTGAATGGCTAAAGTAAATGAAAATATACTGATAAAAGCCAATGCGAAAACCATTCAGAGAATCAGAAATACAGGACACTAAGCACACAAGGCACCCAGTGTTCAGTAAGCTCTGCAAGGGAACACTTTAGCCAGAGGCAGGAACAAGCCAGCTCCTCCTTGGAAACAAAGGGCCAATTCTCCAGGAAACGACTGTAGCCATTTTTTTTGAAACAGAAAAGGAGGGGCAGAACAGTTTTTTCTGGATGCACACTGCCCCCTACTGACCAGAGAAACTCAGAGCCATTGTTCTTGGAAGACAATTCTACTTCTCTAATTTAAAATCAAAGAGATCAGTGATGGTCAAAAAAAGTAAGGATGAGCCAAAGGGACCCGATAAAACAATTCAGGCACCACCTCTTCCTTACTCCCGCCCTAGGAACCAAAGCAACAGTGACAGAAGCCTCAGGTCTCAGAAGCCACCAGAAAGGACTCAGAGATGCATTTCCTTTGCAGGCCTCTAGACCTGCACTAGGGCCAAAAGTGAGGGCGGTGCTAGTGCCCAGCTCCACGCAGCTAGATGGTCCCCCTGAGACCTTGTTGCACACTGTCAGCTGAAGTCAGGGCTTATGATGTCCAGGTCCTATGGCCCCACTGCCATAGTCGCCCCACTAATGGGGTGTGTACCAATTCCCTGGTGACCCTAGCCTATGAACACGATGGTGCCTTCACACAATCACCTACCTCCTCTCAGCCTTCATTCTTGTGAAACCTCCTGATAATATTAGTGCCCATGAACCTGACTCGGTCAACCCTGGAGTCTCTCTGACCTCAGTGTTGTTCTCTCCTCATCAAGTGAGCATCACCTACCTCACCATCGTGCCTTGAACCAAAGGAAACCACATGACGCTCCATGGTGTCCGCTTGTACATTCCCCTCTGTCAGCACCTCAACACTGTACAAAGGTCAGCCAGCTCCCTCCTAGTCTCTCTGCTTAAACAACCTTCAAACTTTAGGAGCCTCCAAAGTGGACCCCACAGCCTTCCTCATCTTCCAGCAGTCCCTGCCAAGCAGTCTATCAAGGGCTATAAATTACCCTTAGGGTTTTTTGCTTTTTGGTTTATGGTTTTTTTGTTGTTGTTAATGCTCACCCGAGGATATCTTCCCCTGATATTTAGAGAGAGTGGAATGGAAACAGGAGTGAGGAACACACACACAGACAAAGACACAGAGACATCTACTAGTCGCCTGCAGCAAGTCCCAACCTGAGCCGTGATGGAACCTACAACCCACGTATGTGCCCTTGACCAGAATCAAACCCAAGACCCTTCAGTCCACAGGACTGACGCTCTAAATGCTGAGCCACACTGGCCAGGGCTAGATTACCCCTTTCTTACTGCTTTCTCCCCTCTCCTGTTCTGCCCCAATAAGGGACACAACCCAGCCTGTATGTGAGGACCTGAGCATTGATGACAAAACTTTGTAACCTACAGAATGATCTTAAATTCGCGACAGGAGAGCATTGCTCCTCACTGTCACCCTCATCCTCCCTACACCACTGCCTTACTCACTAGCAACCCTCTTGCATTCCAGTGAGAAGACAGGAGCAATGAGGGGTGACTTCTCAGAGCTCCCCAAACCCAATCCACCTGGTTTTGCCCTGACATCTCTGCTGCTCCTGGGCGTATCTGCTCCTGACTGCAGCCAGCCCCGCCTGTGCTCAGGGTCCCCTGTGTCCCCACCTGCTCGGGGACTTTGCTCCTGCACTTATCATCACTCCTCTGTCCTGAACTGTCACTGAGGAGGAACAGAGAGGTAACCAAAAGGGACTGCTACTGTAATCTACACATTCATGAAGCTTGGCTTCCAAGGAATTAAGACACCGGCATTAGTAGCAGAGGGCTGACTGATTTTCAGTATGTTCTTTACTGTGACCAAAACACGAGATAACACCCCGAGCTGCAGGTACCAGAAATTCCTAAGGTCCTGATGACTGTTGAATAGATGACACGGGGTTGGAGGTTGGCATGAACCTCAGAGGAGATGCTTTAAGTTGAGGAGGGAGGAGCGGGGATTCTAAGCAGCACTGGGACTGCAGGCAGACCCGCCCTCACTGCTGCGCCCATTCTTACCCTGTAACCACAGAGCTGTGGGTGAGGAGACACTACATCTTCCTAGTAAAAAGCCTCAATCGGTCGTGTCGGGGGTAACAAGATTGAGTTAACACAGAAAGCGGGGAAAGCTTGGGCAGCTGTGGCCAAAGTGGTATAAGAGGGAAATGAGTCACACTGGAGGACCACACTGCAGTCCTGTGCTGAGGGTGCTGGATGCAGGGGGCTCGCTGTGGGGTGATGGCAGGAGCTGGAGACGGGGGCATTTGAAGACTCTCAAGATTCAGACAAAATGTCCTCTGCAAAGACATTTCTTGTTTCAGGACCGTAGAAGCCCAGGAAGGTATGAGAAGCTACAAGAGATTTGTCTTCTCTGTCCTAGACTTGGATACATGTAAAGCATCTCCAAATCTAAGCCCTGTGGATGAGATTGCCCTCGATCACTCATATCTGGTGATGATGAGAATGTGCTTTAGGAAACCTCAGATAATCAACAGGGGCCAGGCCATGGAGCAATAGAAAAGAACCCCCTCTTGAATATAGCCCCTGCAGAGGTGGGGTATCCATCTAGCCCCAGATCACCAAACAGGCAGGGTGGGTTGTCAGAACTGCAAGGAGAAACCTGAGTGGACTTTTCAAGTATTATACCCGAGGGCCACAGAGCTCAGGTCACCATGAAACAGCTGGGGGCATATGCTCTCGGTGAAGGAGCAGGGTCCATCCACAGGAGATTTCTGCCATTGCCACCTGGCCACAGCCGGGCACTGTATGAACTTGGGGTCTTTGTGCAGGAATCCCTGTCTGTCTAAAGCTCCGTAACCTGTTTTGGAGGTCAGGGAGGGTAGGGTCAGAGCTGAGACAGCAACAGATGAGGAAAGGGGATGATGTGGGACATGACTGTGGAAATAGTAGAACGAAGCCCTTCCTACAATTTGACCCCTTTAGGTCAGCAGGGTGAGACAACAGGACCCTGGTGGCTTCTTTAGCACTAGTCCCTGGTTTACACTTGTTTGACACTAGGGCCTAAGAGGACTTCAGTCTCCTTAAGACGAAGGGGATAGAGGGTACGACTTTCTGAGTAAAAGACCCATACAAGGCAATGGGGATGTAGATTTTTCTAAGTCACATAGTTTGTGTAAAGTAGGCCTGTGACGCCTGACCCTGTTTCTGACATGTAATTGTGGTTTTTGTTTTTTTGTGTTTTTTTTTTTATCCTCACCCGAGGACATTTTTCCATTTTTTGTTCAGGTAGAGTGGGAGGGAGAGAGAGGAAGAGAGAGAGAGAGAGAGAGAGAGAGAAACATCGATGTGAAAGGGACACATCGAGTGGCTGCCACCCGCACGACCAACCAGGGCCAGGGACAAACTGCAACCGAGGTACGTGCCCTTAGCGGGAACCGAACCCCGGTCTCTGTGGACCGCAGGCCGACGCTCTAACCGCTGAGCCAAACCGGCCAGGGCTGTAATTGTGGTTTTGCATTATTCTGTGGGCTCTTCCCTGGGGACAACACATTCAAGGGACCAGGCGAACCACACTTGCCCAAAAGACGAGACCTGAGACCTGCCCGTCACGAGGAGGGTTTGATCGCTGCTCCCCCTGGACAAAAGGCAATGCCTGTGCTCAGGGCCCCGATGTGTGGGAGACAAGGGCAGGTCCCCCTTGAATAATAGATTCTCTGAGGACACAGTGGCCTTTGCAAGAGATCTTGGGAAATACGCCTGGTGTGTCAGCCAGAACTGGGTTTCTCACCCCGGCTTCTCAACTCTATGGAGGACAAGGGCATGATTCACCTTTGAAAGAAATAAGAAGGAAAACACCATCTTCTCCTTTTAAAAATATTGACATTCTGTATCTCTCCCCAGGCTTCCTTTACTGTCTCTGGAAACACTTATCTGAAGCTTCAAGTCCTGCTTGAAGCGAAGGCCTGTGTCCTTAAAGGAGGAGCCTGGCATCGCCTGTGGAGACAAGGACAGCCCTGAGGGACCCTGCTCACCTCAGCGACAACCCTCATCAGCTCCTGCACCCCGTGAGTCTGGCTGCGCCTCTCCTCTTTCTGTGATGTTGTGGGGGTCTGCTGATGGCATGCTAGACGTTCTCCTGGGTCACAGAGAGGGGGAGGCCAGGACCCCAAGGCCTCCTCTCCCAGGGACAGATGGGAAGGTGGGCACAGGGGGACCTGTGGGGATGGTGTGCTGACATCCCAGGTTCACTGCTGCTCCCCAGGCTGCAGCGCACTTTGGTTTCTTCATTCTGCCTGATGGCGCTGATCTCCCTGGGCAGTGCCCGCCCTCTGAACTGGAATGAAGGGGAGGAAAGGAACTCTGAGTTTGCTTCTGATCTGCTAAGTGTGCTGAGATGCAAACAGGAGTGGTCGATGTGTACAAATATTCGGTGACATTCAGTGAAAATGCTCACCCTCAGATTCCTTCCCCACAGCCCCACTTCCTTCCACATTGGGGAAGGGCCTTGCATGTGTGGTTTGTGAGTCCGTGAGGACAGGGGTCTTTGACACACCTCTGCAGCTCACTTTGCCTTGTGTGGTCTTCATGGAAATGGTGACCCTTGTCCCCCCCATCCAACAGAGGAAGCTCCCTCCTGGATGATGCTGGGGAAACTGCATTTCTGACTCTCTCCTCTTGGTTGAGAACTGGGGCTCCATTGCTGACTCAGTTTCACATAACTATGCTGACCTTTCTTGAATCTGTGTGGCATCCATACCACCCTGGACAGGAGTGCCCACTGCACAGCCTCAGTCATAGGGTCATTTCACCCTTGCCTCTTTAGGCTTCCCTCAGGAACCCCCGGCTTGGGTCAGCCACTTTCTACATCCTCCTTCAAGGACTGCAGTTCCCTGGGGTCTCACCTACAGCACAGAAGGAACCAAGATTCGGTCCAGAAAGCTATGTTCCTAAACTCCAGAGGCCCTCTGCGCAAAGAGACCGCTGGATCACTGTACAGTGTCCTCCTGTATGTCCCTCGAGTGAATGAGGTGTTACACTTTTACCTGGAGCTCCTCCTCCCTCCTTCACTCACCACCCTTCTCTGGGGTGTCTGATCCCTGCCTGCCATTGTGTCTGTCGATCGTTCCCCTGTAACTGAACCTGATGCTCTTTTCTGTGGCTTCTCTTACCTGCAGATGCAGGATGTCACACACTCTACCCATGTACACAGGGCAGACAGTGCAGTGTGTACTTGTCGAGAACAACAGGAGAATATATTGGCACTAAACCCTTCCTTCTTTCCAAAATAGATAAGAAATAGGGTGGTAGAGAATGGACTGAGTAAATGTGCCTGAGAGGGCAGAGCGGCTATCTAAGGTGAGTGTAGAAAAGTGATTGTGGGCTCAGAAAATGGGGACATTAATCGTGGCCCTCAGTAGACCAGTTGCAGTGCAGTGATAGGCGCTAAGGCCATTACTGAAGGGGACTGAGGAGCAAATGGTCTCAGGAGAAGTTGAAGCACTTTACCTCAAAAAATCATCCATTAATGTGCCAGTAGGTGCAGAATGACATGTGGGAAAGGGGGTTGGGTTTCCCCCATTAGTTGTGAGATGGTCCCATGTACAAACAGCAGGTGATATTTCAGGAGATGGTTACGTGCAGGAGGAAAGTCCCTGAGCAGGTGGAAGGCACGGGCTCCTGAGCACAGGTGAGGGCTGGCTGCAGTGAGGAGCAGGAATCTCAGGGACAGCAGAGAATGCCAGGTTTGCAGCCCTACCTCACTGCTTCTGTGTTCTGCAGCAATCACGAAGGGAGGTCATTGGAATGGAAGAGGGATTGCTAGTAAGTAAGGCAGTGGTGTTGGTAGAATGAGGGTGAAAGCGACAACCCATGCTCTTCTAGTTATGGATTTAACAAAATTAAGTAAGAATTAAACTGTTGTCTTCAGTGCTCATGTGCTCAGATACAGGTTGGGATGTGTGCCTGCTTGGGCACAGCAGGAGTGTGGAGGGGGTGGAAAGGAGCAAGGATGTGTGTTAGAGGGGAGTTTATAGCCCTGGTAAGCTGGGTAAGGACAAGGCTGATGGAAGGTGTGGAAGGCTGTGGGGGCCACACCAAGGACCCCTGGGAGCTGAAGGGTGTCTGAACAGAGGCATTAGGGGAAGGAAGCTGGAGGAACAGGGCATGGTTTGAGGCGATGAGACAGGAGAATGCTAGAAATGGATATCATGGAGGGCTCGGGGCTCCCTGATGCCCAAACATGACCCTGGACAGTGGATGCAGGATGGGGCGGAAGTAAAGAACCTACCTGAGGAAGTGCAGCCTCCTTGTTGCCCGTCAGGCTCCTGGGGCCAGGGTCACCTGAAAGGTTCCAAGGAGTGACCAGCAAGGGAGAACATTGCTCAGGACAGACTTATTCAAGACTGGAGAGGGGCCGGGAGGTGGATGAACAGGGGACGGGTACTGATGACAGCTGGGGCGCTGGGGCGCCGGGCTCAGCAGGATGACAGAACCTGCACAGCACAGGTCCTGTCCTGCAGCTGACACTTTGCAGCAGGACCCTGGACAAACCCTCCTGTAGACACTCTCAGGGGACTGGCAGAAACCTCACTGGCCACCAGCGCGCATGCTCACAATGCTCCTTTGGGAGCCACACCGGCCCCTGGTGGCCATTGTGCTGTGGCCTGGACTGGGGCCCCTGTGGCTCTGATTCCGAGGCCGCGCTAGGGACGTGGCCTTGCTGGGCCCTTTTGGCACATTCTTTTCCATTTATTCATACTGCTCAGCATCACTTGTGACTCCACCAGCAACAGGATCTCTTACTTACCTCCCAGTGCCAGCGCTGAAAACGGATTTTTCTTTCGAGTCGCGAGCCTCGCTTTCTCTGGCCGGCAGGGGGCAGTGGTGCCTCGTGCACGCGCCCGCCCGCCACTCCCCCGCCCTTCCTGCTTCAAAAAACTTCCTGGGGCCTCTGACAGTGGCCTTAGGTGTGTGCTGGGTCTGAACTGGCTCAGCAGCCACCTTGACCGACAGGCTCCTTCAGGGGCTTCAGCAGTAAAACTTGGCTTTTAGACGCAGAAACACTGTGCTTTGCAAATCGCCTTTTCCTGGAAGCGCCTGCCGACATTGCGCAGGGACATTTATTTCTTTTTCTCTGCATGGGATTGTCATTGGCTTTCCCGAACTCATTTTCGGTTCTTTGGGCCTTTATGAATATATACTTCACTGATGGCAGTCACGCAAACCGCACTGTTGAAATTTAGGGACATGTGAAATACAATGAAGTAACCCAAACCACAGTCCCTTCCCCCAATATTGACTATTAATATTTTGTGATTTTTTTAGAGATTGTTTTTCTCTCAAAGACGACTCATTTTGTGTGTGTGTGTTAGTATATATATATATATTCAATTTCTTTTCATTATTCATCTTGGAGAGAGAAGGGAGAGGGAGCGATATAGAAACATTGATGAGAGAGAACATGGATTGATTACCTCCTTGCCATCCACTGGGGTTTTGGCCCATAAACTGGGCATGTGTCCTGACCAGAGACTCCAACCTCTTCGTGACTTGGTCCATGCTGAACCACTGTGCCACACTGACAGGGCTTAGGGTTCCTTTTTGAATCATGACTTCAACGTCTTATTTTCAAACTCAGGTATACATTTCTGAAAGTCATTTTATGCTTTTAGCTATTCTTCTGAGAAATAATGGAGACATATTGCAAACTGTTAAGAGTTTCCTTAAATGTGAAGTGGAAGATGCAGTGACCTGTGTTCCCGAGACAGCAGCACAGGCCAGGCCGTGAGGGCAGGAGCTGCAGTGATGTCTGCTGCTCTCTACCCTCAGCGCCAGGAGGAAGGCCCAGCACTTAGGGGGTGCCCAGGAAATATGTGAAATGTTTTCACCATTTACTTTTCCGGTCTGTTTTATATATGAATATTTATACAAAATATATATAATTTGTCTTTTCCTAATCCTGGATTATAATATAGTTTTCTACATTTTGTTTGTTTTTCAGTTTAGACGTTTGCAAGTCAGCGTTTCTCTGTCATTGGAATGTCTTGCAGTCATATTTTCTGACCTCACCCAGGACAGTTAATTAACTGAAGGCCATTTAGCTTGTAGGTGACAGAGTCAGGACAGAGCACCAGTCTTTCAATATCGAGACTTTCCGTCATTCCATAAAAATTTTAATAGGACTTAAGTGAACAAGGAGCAGAGAATGGCCTTCATAGAGACGGTGCATCTTTTATTGTTGCTCTCCATTTTCTTCACCTGTCAGTACTTTGGGAATCTTTCCAGAAGAAACTTGCCTGTAGCATATTCACTTCATAGAAATTTAATTCTGCAAGTGATTTGGTCCAGTGGTTAAAAACTGCAGTCACCTGCCTGCCAGCTCGGATGATTGATGTAGGTCTTATAATGAGGGGCAGGGTGCATAAAGAATACACCGAACATGCACTAAGAAGGTTAGTGACCATTGTGCTATTGGAGTTGGGAACAGGGTCCTCTGACAGTGAGTGGGGGTGTATGAAGGAAGCCTGGTTTGACTGCAGGGCCTTTCTCTTCCTAAGTCCCACAAATCCTTCTGACGCTTCTTTGGCAGGCCTCAGATTAACTGATAAAAGTCCCATACTTCTCACCAAAAAGTTTCATTTTAGAGAGTAGTGTCTGCAAATAATCTGAACTCATTTATATTGACAACTTCTTTACCATAGAGGCATCCTTTGATTGGACATGCAGTTCTTCCCTGGTATTTTCCTCCTGGAGGGCCTTGGGCCCAGTCTCCAGAGAACTCCCTCCCTGTTCCAGCCCTACCAGGCTTCCCTTTTTTGCTCTCTACGTTTCTTTGCTTTCCAGGCCTGCTGTTTTCTCACGTTGAAGATGAAGAAGTCCTGCTAACTTGTTGGTTGAACAGGGGGCTCATTTAGGAAAGGGTGTGGTAAGAGAGACCCTGCTCCCAGCAGAGAAACTCCTCCTCTTGTTTGTTTGCATTGGAATTCATTTCAGCAAACATTTATTTTACTTTGACAGAGAGTTCCATATCCCCTGTCTACATGATCTCTAAGATGTCCTCTGTGCT